CAACATTTAAAAGTTTCTCTGAAACTATTTTACTAAACCTGGCCTGAACCTTATTTTAATAACGTGAAAACACCTAGTTGGCATCTTCTTCAAATTCACAAGAAATCTTCAAATAACCTGACCTGATGAAACCAGAATGTTGTATCATTGAAATTTTTCCATACATCTTCCATTCTGCTTTTAAGGAAATCCGGGAAGTACCAAGAAAACCCCTTGATATCAGGATTTAAGTACGGACTTCAAAAGAATTGTCTTGTTTTGGTCACATTTAGTCCACCTTCCTCTCATTTCTCCCAGGCCCAGCTTCCTCGGTGTGGGCGCTATGCCCTGTGAGACCTGGTTTTATCCATCATCCTAATCTCAGGGCCGAGCATGCAGGAGGCTTCAGTAGAGGTTCTTCAATTCTATGGATTGAGCCGCAGCCATGCAGGTCAACAGGCTGGCCTTAGTAGCCTGCAATGCACAGAGAGGTTTCTGTTTCTCACACCTTTGCCTTGGGCTGCGCTATCAGTTCTTTCTCCTTCATTCTTTGACAGCATCTCAAGTAAATGGTGTAGCTTTCCAGTCACTTGTACTTATTAAAGAGTTCAGGGCAGTTGAATCAAAACTCGGATCAAAACTGTCTTCCTGCCTCTGACACACAGCTGCTCTCCCTCCGGCAGGGATGTACTCTCCACTGATGTACTCTCCATGCACACTACTTCCCCATGTCTCCCCTTCCGTCCCCCCACCACCCACTTCATTCTCGCTCCTTTAGGGATGGAAAGGAAGATGGGAGAGGGCTGTGGGCATCTAAAGAAGGAAACAGCAAAGTTCTCTTTCCTTAGCCAGGGTTCTTTGTGGATCCCCCAGGCTGTTCCACCATCTGGGGTCCTCTGCTCCGCTGTGGTGGGCGTCCTCAGGTTCTCCATTCAGACTGTCTTGTGGAGCCTCTGCAGACCTGTCTGGGCACCTCTGCACTGCATCCTCCCTGATGTGGATGATGCACTCTGACCAACATCCTCCATCCTACCCTCAACTCGGCCTCCAGTGGGGCACTTCCAGCCTCACTCCCCTGCCTCCTCTTGGCCCCGCAGCTGATTCTCAGCCCCAAAGGCAGGGACTCCATCCAGCTCCCTCCAGCAGCCTCCGCTTGGTCCCAGGGATACATTGGAGGGCAGGCTGCTTGCAAAGCTGTCCTCTCTCACCCAATCACTGGAGCTTGAATCAGCCTTCCACCTTTAGACTTCTCCGGCTACAAGGCAGGCCCCAGTTTCTGTTCCACGGTACACCCTCAGTGACTGGCTTCACCATCGTGCACGTTGGGGAGCATCCGACCAGGAAATAATATGCCAGTCTCTCCTCTATGGACAACTCCACGCTCTGTGCGCAGTTCTCGGCCTGACTTGAGGTAGACGGGGACGCAAGCAAAGGTATCACTCAAAGCACGTAATCGCTAGTGTGGCGTGGGCAGCAACGCATCCGAATGGGCCCAGTTGTCAGCACCCCACCTGGCTGCATGTGCAGATGCGCTGGACCCCGTTCCCACCCGGTCCTGTCCTATGGGGAAGGGAGTGGAAATGCCACAGCCTTCTCTGCGGGCCCACACCCCCTGCCTCTCTGACCCTCTAGCTGTCTCTCCCACTGCCCGCTGGGTGAGGGGGACTGGACCAGTTCAGCTGCCCCATCAGTCCTGTGTGGACGCAGCCAGGACCTCTCACTAGGATAAACATCCTCCTGTGTAGCCAGTCAAGGTTATACTGGATCAAGGATCTGCCAACGCTAGGTTGCCAAGTATGCAAAAGCATCGTCAGGAGATCCTGAGCTCTGTCTCACTGGAGGCGGTCAAGCCCGATGTAAGAGATGTGGTAGTAAGGACTGGGTAAAAGGTGGAAGTAAACGAGAGTATTCATTATTCTGATTATGATTTGATTATCCTTACTGAGTTACTTTTTACATTTTTCAATTCTGTACGTCTCAGGATCTTCAAGTTTTCTGCAATCGTTGTAAAATAAGCCATGAGGAAAAAGAAGGAAATAAACAGTGATGTTCCAGATCTGGATCCCTGAAGCCATCCTGGAAACGGATACTTGCCGCTGGGTTAGTCCGCTAGGGCTGCTGTAACAAACACTACAGACCAGGTGGCTTAAACAACAGAGATTTATTTTCTCACATTTCTGGTGGCTAGAAGCCCAAGTTCAGGGTGTGGTCAGGGTTGATTTCTTCTGAGCCTTCTTTCTTTGGCTTGTGGGTGGCTGTCCTCTCCTGTCGTACCTGGGCTTTCCTCTGCACATCTGTGTCCTCATTTCTTCTTGTAAGGACACCATTCCTATTGGGTGACAGCCCACCTCTATGACCTCATCGTACATTCATTACCTCTTAAAGGACCCTATCTCCAAATACAATCACGTGCTGAGCTACCAGGGCTTAGGACTTGAACATATGCATTTTGAGGGGATGTAATGCATCCCACAGCCGCTACCGTGCAGAATTTATTTTGTCCCTCACTGGCACCAGAAGGCCTTTCTAAGGCAGAAGAGTTAAAACCTGAGCCAGCTGCCAAGCCCCCCGGCGTCTTCCATCCACCCACCTGCTGGAGAGCGGCAGCCTCTCTGCAAAGTCGTTTTCAATCCCATCTTGCATTCTGTGGTGCCCTTTCCCACAGGGGAAGCCTGTTCATGTAAGGATGCAGCCTTCTTTATGGCAGCGTATGGAGAATGGGGCTCAGCAATTGAATTGCAGCTTAAACACATCCCGATTCGTGTGGCAGCCCTCATCACTCAGGCCTGACGGCAGTACTGTTGCCACTCATACCGCCTGTGGCTTTACAGAAACGTCTGTTGACCCTTGATGGAGTTTTGCACTTTATGACTTTTTCAACAGGCATTGGCAACAAAGCCTTCTCTATATTTGTGCAAGTGAAACATGTCTGCAAGTAAACAAGATCAGATATTCACAGACTTATACAATGCTTCAAGTCAAAAAAAAAACTCAAACATGAATTTCTCAAAATTCATCTAAAATGTTATGTGTTTAAATTAACTTTTCCTAAGAATAGAAACATCCAATTTAACATAGTCATTTACAAGGTTTAATGCAGGCACCCAGAGGAAGAAATAGTACGATGAACACTGCAATGTGTAAAACCTGGGACAAGAGTAGAAGATAAAGAGACTATTTGGGTAGGGGGTTGTATTGTAAGATGACAAGGGGGCTCTTTTCTTATATTTTTCCTTTTCAATTTTTTGCAAAGCAATCACCTAATTTTTTTGAGAAAAGTTAAACAGTTGTGGAAAGAATGTGCAGTTTAAAAGGCGTATATAAGCACAAATATATTTTTTTCTAAAACTCTATAAAACAGGAATAGAATTCACTTGGGATATAATTTTGTTTTACTATGTACCTCCTTCTTTTAATTTTTTAAATCATGTGAATATATTACCTATTTTTAAATATATATATGTGTGTACACACACATACACCATATATCATATGTTTATTTTGCTTCCCCAAATGCCACTCTTCTGTTTCATTCTTTATATTCACAGCCCATGCATCACATATTGTGGGTTTGAGGGAGGTCAATAAATAGTGATCCTCTTTATCAGGTTCTGAATCCCTACAGAATTAAGACAAAAGAATGAAGCAGATTGGACACTAAAATAAAAGGCCAGGTTGGAAGACACAACATTAATCAGCAGGTAAGTTTTCTTCCTAATTACAAAAATCGTGAAAGGAAATCAATTCATCGATAGTGTCCCAGGTAGAGCTCAGCTGGAGCATCTACCACACATGCTGGAGTAATATGCAAGATACTTACACCCTATATGCTATGGCACCTACCAACGGAACCAGTCCTCATCTGTAAATAGCACGTCCAGCCTTACAGTTGTATGGGCCTGCCCGTGCAGGGCCTGGTTCTGTACTCAGTGTAGAGAGTAGCAGAGAAAAATGCCTGCTGTCTGAGGGCAGGCCAGCTCCTGAAGAGAAGGGAACCCACAGAGAGGTTCTCCTTCCAGCTCACCAATCAGGTCAGTCATTTCTCTTCTCAAAGGGAAGAAGGAGGGAGGGAAGAGACAGAAACCAGGAGTGGCACCAGAATCACAAGTAGAGATAGAAGGATACATTACAAATAGAGATGATTCCTCTGGGAGAATAGAAAAAAATGTAAAACTGTGAAAAGCTGTACCAAAGCTTCTAATAACCACGGTGCTACGATAGACACCAACATTGGCATGAACCTATACATGTGTATCTCCAAAATGAGTGCTGTGGACTGATTTGCTCCCCTTCCCCCAAATTCCTATGCTGAAGCCCTCCCTAACCCCTTCCCCTCACGTGACTGTGTTTGGAGATAGGGCCAATAAGGAGATAATTACAGTTAAATGTCATCATAAGGGTGGAGCCCTGACGGGATTAGTGTCCTCATTAGAAGAGACACCAGAGAGCTTGCTCCCTCTCTTTCCTCCATGCGCCCTCAAGAAAGAAGAGGTCATGTGAGAACTCATGTGAGGACACGGTTCTCATGGTGTCTGCAAGGCGAGAGAAAAAGCCTCAGAATGAAACCTACCTTGCCAGCACCTTGACCTTGGCCTCGCAGCCTCCAGAACAGTGAGAAATAGGTGTCTGCCATTTAAGCCACCCAGCGTGTGGTATTTTGTTACTGCAGCCCTAGCAAACTTATACAGTGAGAGAGGAATTCTTTTCTTTTCTTTCTACCTACCTGCCTACCTACCTATCTATAGGAGAACCTATATGTATACAATAGGAATGTAGAACAAGCTTATGACGCACGAGTACATCTAAAAATTTTTATCATCGTAGTACCTATTGAACAAAGATCATTGTTGGAACATGATACAAACGGCAAGGGGAGCTAGATTACAAAAGTTTTTTTAAATGTTACAATGTGGATCCTTTTTAAAAATTTGGTTAATTATTTTCAAGATAGATTTTTGAATTAATGCATGCCTCAAATAACACTGCAAATAATCAATTAAAATTTTTTACTATTTACTTACTCTGTTGTTTCTCTGTTGGGAACTTTTCTCATGGAGAAAGCCACCATTGCTTTGAAAAGATATTCCTCATTTGTATCCCAGGCATACTAAAAGAGAAGTAAAACAGGAAATGTAAGAGGCATAGGATAAAAAATGGTCCGTTGGAATCTAATTGTGACCACAGTGGTGGTGGTAATCAAGACCTGCCTCTCTCTCTCATCTTTCTCATACACTAAACACCAAAGACCAAGATAAATCATGTCACAATAATGTTCAGGATGGGCTTTCTTGGACATTCTGTCATTCCAAGTGTGGTGTACTTTCCATTGCATTATCTTCTTCACAATCTGCAGTATCAGTAGCCAGTCAACAAATAGGGCATTTGGACATCGTATCCTGAACATATACAGTTGGTTCCCTTCCTCCTTTACTCTCTTCCCTCATTAACTGACTACCTCTCTCAGCTTCCTTTCCTTTACTAACATAGGTACAATTTTTCTTTCCATTTTCTTAGCTGGAAACTTGAGTGTGTGTGCATATTATGGATTTAACTGTGCCCCCCCCATTTATATGTCGAAGTCCTAACCTCTAGTACCTTAGAATGTAACTGTATTTGGAGATAGTGTCTTTACAAAGGTGATTAAGTTTAAATGAGGTCATTAGGGTAGACCTAATCCAATATGGACTGGTGTCCTTGCAAGAAGAGGAAATTTGGACACAGCCACATATAGAGGGAAGACAATGTGAAGATACAGAGAGAAGACAGTCATCTATAAGCCAAAGAGAGAGGCCTAGAATAGATCTTTCCTTCACAGACCTCAGAAGGAACCAACCCTGTTGATACCCTGATCGTGGACTGCTAGCCTCCAGAACTGAGAGAAAATAAATTTCTATTGTTTAAGCCACCCGGTTCACAGTACTTTCTCACAGTAGCCCTAGCAAACTAATGTGGCTGACCACATATTTTAGGTGAGTAATCAAGTATAACTGGAGAAAGTCACGTAACAGGGTTTAACTCTAAGTTCATGATGACCTACTCCCAAATTGCCCAGGAATCCCTTAGGTCTCCATCAGTTTTCTCTCTCTCATGGTTCACAATGGCTATTTCAAACCTCTTTCAGCTCCCCGCCTCCACCAAACTCAAAGCTTTCCCTTACACCTCATACTCACTAGATGCTCTTTTTTTAAAAGATTTTATTTATTTATTGAGAAAGAAAGAGAGGGAGCATGAGCAGGGGGAGGGGCAGAGGGAAAGGGAGAAGCAGACGCCCCGCTGAGCAGGGAGCCCGATGTGGGGCTCCATCCCAGGACCCCGGGATCACGACCTGAGCTGAAGACAAACGCTTAACTTACTGAGCCACCCAGGCGCCCCTCACTAGATGTTCTTATCTCGTAATTTAGAGATACATCCTCAAGTCATCAATTTAAACTTCCCCATCCTCCTGACACCAAACAAAAAACTTCCTCTGTAGACATACATGCTATCCACATCCTCCCCCAAAAGGCCAGATGTGGTGTTTCTCCTCCTGTCAATGGCTCTTGCATCCACCTGGATTAGGAACACTGCCCTTCTGCCCTTCTCAGAATCTAAGGATATCAGTTTCCCCTCTCCTCCGTAAGTACACTGGACTCTGGCTTTTAGCCATGCTCAAGCCTTCCCATTAAAACGACACCAAAACCAAACCACTGTACTCAATCTTTCTTCTCTACCTACTGCTGTCTCTCTCCTGCCCTTCACAGCCAACATTCTCAAAGGAGTTGTCATACTTGTGTCTTCACCTGTTTGCCACCCACTTATTCTCAACTCCCTCCACTATCTGCTTTCCAGTCCCACCACTCCATAAAGTTGGCTCTCTCTAAAGTTACCAGTGACCTCTACATGACTCAACACAATGAGTGGCTTTCAGGATCATCCTGGTTGGCCTGTCAACAGATCACTTCCTTCAACTTGAAGCACTCTCTTCCCTTTTGTGATACACATTCTGGTTTTCCTCCTGCCTATTTGCCCCCTTTGTAGGTTCGCCCTCTTCTATAAGGGCTTCAGGTTTTAGACCATCTCAAAGCTCTATGCTAGACCTTTCCCTCTTGTCACTCTGTACTTTCTCCCTCAGACTGTCATCTACTCCAGGCTTCCATTATCACCGTTAGGTAAATGACCCAGGAATGCATATCTCAAGCTCACCCTGTCCTTGCCTGCCCAATAATATCTCAGGCTCAGCAAATCCAAAATTAAAGCCATGGTTTTCTTGTCTGTACCTGTTTCCCTGATTCACCAGTGGGTCACCATCCATTCAGTTGCATAATTAGAAACTAAAGTGTCATCCTTGACTCCCCCTTCCCCCTTTCTCCTTTCTACTCTTATCCTCTCCCAATCTGCCTTCTACACTGTGACCAGAGTGTTTTCCAAGCATCAATTCTATCATAACATCTCTTCCAGAAAGCTCTCACTTGCTTTAAAGATAATCCCAAAACTTCCTAACACGGTCCATAAACTTCTTCCGCCTGACTTCTCCCTTCTGCCCAAACTCATTACATGCCATGCTCTACCTCACTGCTCCAGTTGCAGAGACCTCAGCCTTCCTTCCATCCCATACTCTCACCAAGTTCCTTCCTGTAATAAGCCTTTGCATGTTCTGTTCCCTCTGCCCCTTTTTCTTTTATCCTCTGGCTCACCTCCACTCATATGTTAGACCTCATAGCAAATGCCAAGTACTAAGGCTCCCAACAAGTCCAAAGCCCCCATGTACTTCTCCTTCCTGCAATACTTGTCAAGACTGCACATTTCTACTTCATTTACTGAATGTTTCATTGACAACCAATCCTCCCAATATCATAAGCTCCACGAGAGCAGGGACAAGCCTGATTGATCTGCCATTGCATCCCCAGGGTCTAGCATGGTGCCTGCCCTCAGAGGACCCTGGGATGAGCAACTACACAGTGGTAGAGAGAATAGATTCTACAGTCAGTCTGTTGGGTTCAAATCTCACCTCTGTCACTTGCTGACCTGAGATCCCGAGCACGTTGCTTAATTTCTTTGTACCTCGGTTTTCTCATTTACCCAGTGAGAGTGGGAATGCCGGTACTACCTTCCTCAAAAGGTTGTTGTCGGGGCTGCATGAACCGGTGTGAGTAAAGTGCTCAGAAGGGTCCCCGCTGGAAAGTAAACTAAGTTCTCAATAAATGCTGGGTGTTATAATGATCATTACTCATTGAATAAATAAAATAATACATTGGCGGATTGGCCTGCAAACAGAATACGTACCTCTAAGTTTCCTTAGCACTCTTTTATTGCTTCTACCCCGAAGTATCTTAATATCGCCTTCTATTGGGGAAAATTTTCACAGACCACACAGGGATACTAAAACTAGAATTACACAAATCACCTCATTAATTCGACAGGCCGTACTGTTCTTATAGCTACATGAACCTTATGAGTATTTTTTAACTTCAATTTCATAAGCACATATTTCACATTGTTACTTTGATATTTGAGAAGAACTGAAGAAACTTCACATTAGAACTAGAAACTAGCTATGAAAAATCTGATGTGGGTGGAACCATACCATCTTTTAGCTGACAAGAAAACTGAGGCTGACAAAATACGAATGACCGCAACAGTGAGGTGCAGAGCCCAACCCAGACATGAGTACCCGACTTAGGCCCCGCAGCTCCACTGTGCTTGACTGAAATGTTCGAGTTTGCTACATTGTTTTGTGTAATACAAACCTTCACAGATTTTCTAGCACACACTGCAGATTAAAGACTTGAGGCACAATCATTTTTTAAGAATTTCTATTTTACTATTTTTTAACTTTAAGACAATATCAGATTTGAGGTCTTTAGACTTAAACTATATGAGTTTAAGATAACGAGGCAGAGGCTCATTACTAGAGAAAGTAGTATTAGCAAACAAAATTAAAAATGAACATGCAGGTTCTCCACTTACTGCTTTATCTCCCAGAGCTGTTCTGATACTAAGTCTTACTTTAAAAGCATTTTCTGCATCTGCCAGAAAGAAAAAAGAGCAGTATATGATGATAAAAATCTGCCAAAACATGAAGTCCAAACATTTAATCAACTCAAATCAACAGAACACAGATCTTCAGTTAAACTGCCCCCAAAACTGAAAGTTTAACTACAAGCCCCTTAGATGGTTTAAATTTTTCTTTCAAACTTCTAAAACATTCACAGTCTCAACTTTCAAGCCACAACACGTCTGCAGATTTAGAAAAATAGAGAAATCATTCAGTCAAAGACTTGTCAATCATTTAGAAAACTGTTACCCTATTTTTAAGTTTCAAGGCTGCATACCTGGTTGACACAGTTCAGCATGAATAGCAGTCACCAGAAAAAAGAGCAGGCACAACATTCTTTCAGAGTGCAAAGCACAAGGCAAACGGAGGGGAAAAAATCCGCCCTCCACTTAAAGCTGCCTTAGCCATTCTGTGACCCGGATTAGAATATCAGAGAAACAAGCCAGCCCCCACCTAGAAGGTTTAATGATTAAACCCCATTATTTGGGTTAATATTTAAGGAGAAGCAGCCCATCTCCTGTCAGTTATTTACGAAAATCTGTTGGGAAAACAGATTAGTTGTCCTTCCTGAACTGTACCTCCAGAGACTGTTTCTTCTGCTGACTCCAAGTCAGAATCCTCCCCCGCCCCTTCTGTTGTGGCCCAGCTAAGCGCCCCTTGGAAAGAACTGAGCCCTCTCTGGACGGTTTCCTCAGCCTCAACTTTCCATCTTTTCAGGGCTAAAATAGCCAACTCCTAGATAAGCTATCTTAATTTGGAAAACAAACATCACCCCTTTCTTTCCCTGGTGAACCAAAGACGACCTTCCAAGAATGGCCTCACCTGACTCTCACCTCCACAGATCTACATCCGTAAACATCCGGGGAGAGTTTCCACCTCAAAGGGAATCATTTTGGTCAGCCCTAAGTTCTGGTGGTTGTGTAAAGTCAGAGTTAACGATACAGAGCAGTGCTGTCCAGTGGAACACTCTGTGATGATGGAAATGTTCTCTATCTGTTCTATCCAACACGGTAGCCACCAGACCTTAGGTGGCTATTGGCCACCTGAAATGGGGCTGGTGCTGCTGAGAAACTAAATTTTCTATTAATTTAATTTATGTAGAAACATGTGGCTAGCAACTCCGTTGGTCAGTGCAGCTAGAGAACAGTCATTAAGAGCTTCCTGCCATGAACTAGGTTTGCTGGATTATCTCTCTCGTCCTCAAAACAGCACCTCACAGTTGCCGTTGTTATAAGCATCTTACACACCAGGGAACTGAGGGTCTGGTGGTTAAGGCATCGGTGCCAATGGGAGGAGTGGAATGGGTGTCACTTGAACCCTTCTGCACCACACCGACCTGCACTGGGTCTTCACTGGTCATCACTGGTCAAAACTGAAATTGCAACCAAGCCTCAGAGATGCTCTGAGGATGACCATAAGGAGTGGAAGAGAGTCTCCCCTAGTGGGCATTCTATGGATGTCATTAGAAGCCCCCCAGGCAGGTTGATGTCAGGGCTTTCCTCTCTACCACATTGCCTCTTCGTGATTTCAGTCCCCAGATTCCACCTCATTGCTTGAAAACCATGTAGATTGGGTGACCCTGATGTTAAATAGAAAATTTGGATTTTCAAAGCAACCGTGGGAAAAAGATCAACAGCTACGCTTCTGCACCACTCTGAGAGTCCTATCATTTCCCTCTCCTGGGTAGGGTGACATTTTACCATAGATGACCCATTTCTGTTTGGTGACTCCACCCGAAGAAGCTTCTCTCCTCTCCCTCGCCTTGGTTGCAAGGGCACAGTCAGGAAAAGTTGGATTTAGAGGGAGAGGCGGCCAAAAGTTAGGCCCGTCATTCTAGCAGTTTCACTATTAGGTGAAATGGAAATTTCCTAGAAGGGGGAGCTCACATAACTTAGCCCTGAAAACAAAGTCAGACTAGATGAAGTTATCTTGAGAAATGTTAGACTAGATAAAGTCATCATGGGAAGGAAAAGCCAGTAGATGGAGATGATCACAAAGCTAATTATTTGCATCAGGGAACAAAGCCATGTTAGAGACAAATCTGATTCAGCCTTCCTTTAGCCTTAAACTTCCTAAAAGTATCAAACGTTTCTCTTTTGCTCTTACTTAATCACATATGTGACTAGGATTGAAGACAGTAAAATGCTGAATTATAGTTAAGCCATTCTTTGAAAAGCAAAGAAAGTCTCTTCCCTTTTGAATTATGATGTCTCTTTTTTCAAAATAAAATTCACCATTTATTAAACAATTTCTATGTGCCAGGCACTCTAGTAGTGCTTAATATAAATATGATTTTTAAAAAATTATCGTTACTAAAATAGAATTTACAAACAATATTATATGAATTTCAGGTGTACCAAAGAGTGATTCAACATTTATATACATTACAAAATGCTCACCACAATAAGTGTAGTTGCCATCTGTCACCGCACAGTTATTACAATTTTATTGACTACATTCCCCATGCTATATTTCACTTTCACTATTCTATACTTTATCAATGTTTGTTGTCTCATTTGAAAAATGACAGAGGAAAAAAAAAAAGGCAGGAAAAGAGAGCAAATGAAGTTCTGTATAGAAAATACAGAGAAGCCAAAAGAGAAAAATACAAAATATCCATAATACCACCAGCATGAATGACCAATGCTAATATATTTTGAGAGTTGAAACATACCTGCCTTAGCTTTGGATCTTCTTGTGTGTTCTTGTGTGATGCTGTTGTTTCATCTCATTATAGCAGCACTATCAGAATCGTAATGGTGGAATAACATGGACCCTTGTTTTCTTCCTTATTCTATCTAATGGGAGTGCTGCTCTTCCACAGGATCTGGTGGGTCACTTTCAGTTTGATGTGTCGTGAGATAAAAAGTCTCCTTTTACTAAAAATTCTTTTTATCCAGAATTCATGTTGAATTTTATCAACTGCTCTTTCAACTTCTCTTAATATGATCCTAGAGATCTTACCATTTGGTACATTTTACTAATAAGTTCCTTTATGTTGATCCAACCCGTAGATAAGCTCAGTTTGATGATTTTTAACATACTCCTGGACTTATTTGCTGTGCTTTTCCTTAGATTTTTAAACCTATTTTCATAGAAGAATATCATTTAGGTTCCTTTTCAAGTGCTGATTCTTGAAGTTTATTTTTTTCTGGCCCTTACATTACCATCTTGAAAATGGTATGCAAAGATTTCTAATATCCTCTATATTTACAAATACTTTAAAATGCAGAAGAAGGGGCACCTGGGTGGCTCAGTCATTAAGCGTCTGCCTTCGGCTCAGGTCATGATCCCAGGGTCCTGGGATCCAACCCCGCATCGGGCTCCCTGCT